TACGTTTATTTAGGCAAACACACATAATAAAAAATGGCGTAGATTAGGTTAGGTATCTTTGTTGCGCTGTAAGAGGGTATCATTTTGAATCCTTAGGGCAAACGTACAGAGAAACTTAGGTGTTAGAAGGATATAAATATTCCAATGTCAAAAAAATTAGGTATATCCTCTCCCATCCTGTGCAAAAAAATCCAAAACTTCACAGGAGTTACTCAAACGTAGCACTAGATCATTTTTCAAAACCTACACTGCTTTTCCGTCCTTGAAACTGTAGTAAAATCTAAATCTACTTTCCAAGTTAAACAGAGGCCAAAGATCAGCGGACAGACTGACAAACAGACATACACAGCGACGGATCAACAAATATGAATGATATGTTTTTTGTGATTATCGTTCTCAAAAACATATTTCCTTGACATATCGATAATTTTAAAGTTCCACGCTAAATTCCCCTATACTTGACTGGAGTGATATATATCCGAATTCCTTCTTCTCTACTGACGGCAGTTGCAGATAGATCTGTTGACTCTTGGTGTCAAACCTATAAGAGTATGTACCGATTTTTTCAAATCGTGGGCACATTATTCGTCGGATTTTCGTTACTTAAATTTCCTGTAATCACTGGGATCAGAAGCTTCTTAATAATAGAACGTGTTTCACTGATATCAAAAATGCAACATTTAGAATCACCTTCCCCCAACCCCCACTTTTTAAGCAGTACAATTTTTTTCTGTCAATGATAAGGAACTCCTGTAACGTCAAAAACGGAGTTTCAGCAATTGTTACTTTTTCTTTTTTACCTATAGCACCGTTGCCATTGGACTGAAACTACAAAGCTTTGGCATACTAGTAACGCCGTGTGGAAATTTAATAAAAATCTGAGCGGTTATTTCCAAGTTGATGAGTGATACAGTTTTCCGTGATGTAGATGTCTATAACTTAAAAAAACATAAAATCTCATTTTAGAAATTTTTCGCGATTACAATACTTCCTCGCCAATGAGGTGGGAAGTAAAACGGCTTTAAAATCGAGAAGTATCAGCGATCGCAATTATGAGTACCTATTTGCAGAACGACTTATCTACGAGATATTATATGAAATAGGGCCACCAAATTATCTGAATACGTCCTTTTTTAGTCCGTACGTTGCGTCGCAACGCTTGGGTTGGCAGCACGAAACAGTAGACTAAATTCGTCCAAAATACGATTTGTAGAGGTTTGCGCGCTTCGAAATGGACGCTTTATTTTTTGATATTTTTGGATGAAATTTTCACAGAGTGCTGAAAACAAAACCCCACAAGGTGCTATGGAGCCACTTTTTCATTTTTTTTCACTAGGTTTTTAAAAAAATCGCAATGTTGAACAGAAAAAGTGCGCACTTCAACCCATCATAAAACTTGTGCAAAAATAAAATTCCAAAAAGTGCTCCTATACCACCCTGGGGAATTATCTTCTGAACATACTGTATGAATTTCACTAAAAAATATTGAAAAATGGAGTGTCAGTTTTGAAGCAGCTGAACCCTTGTAAATGGCTTGAAACTCACTGCGTCGGAGCCGCCTTAACATCAAAAAACATCTTATATGTCTCTTGCGATTACAATAGCCCCTCGCCAGTTGACGCGGGATTGATAAAAAACGTAGTAAGCCTGAAAATTTCACAGTTCAGCTTATGAAGTAAAAAGAGCTCAAAGAATTTATTCTTTCATTCTTGATAATGCTTTAAACAAAGCGTCATTGCCCAATATTCTCCACCAAATCGGTGCAGCACTAATTTGGATAAGAAAACCCAACGTGTAATCGACAGATCAACGTAAAGACATACTGACAGGCAAATTAAAGGAAGTGGGTGGCATGCATTTGAAATTATGCTACAGAAACACGGCGCTCATGTCTGTGATTAACAACGTTGTCTGTAAAGGTCGTTTACCATCAGATTTGCGGGTGTATATTAGAGGAAAGTATAGTTGCAGGACAATAATTATATTCAGAGTGTTGACCTTTATGAAGAAGCAATTTAATAAATTGTAAATGTTCAACACACGTAGCCTTTGAAAACATGAAATTACTGATGCAATGGTCTCGTAATATTTTCTAAGCACTATCTTGTATGTCAAGATGAAAAATACAGCGACATTGAATATCGAAGAACCATTTTTCTATGCGGCAAGCTTGGAAACAGGGTAATACTGTTTGAGTATAACAAGGAAAACCCAAGAGAGCAAACGATTTTAAAAATCTACTACACCAAAATGATGCATATTGAAGTTTTCAATTGCGCATCAGAGTTTTTTGTGATATTGATATTTTAATATCAAAAAACTGTTTGTTTTTGAATTATTTAAAATTCTAGTCATGTGTTCATCTATTGCATTAAATAATCAAATCAGCTGCCAATCTTTGAATCGCCCTGTAGAACATTGCAGTGCATGAGTAACGCTTAAAGTGCTTTTACGTATCAATGTTTATACGCATAATGTACATTAGCATTACACAATTTTGAATTGAATAACTCGTTGAAATATGAGGAAGTGCGTGGACACGTTACCGGTATCTGCGTAAGAAATATTGCCTTCCATTGCAGGAATCTCGTGTTTATCAACGAGAAGTCGGTGGTGGGTGATGCTTTCAGATTTATCACCTAGAATGTTTTTGCAATATGTTCTTCTGAAACCTACTATATGGACGTATCTCAATTTCACCAAGCTTCCTATTGGAGATGCATACATATGAAAAAACGGTATTATTGATATGCCTGCTGTCCCAGCAGCCTTTTATATAAAATGTGTAAAAGATAAACAATTGGAACTAAAATTAACGGTTGGTTAACTGCTTCTAGGGCGAATTTTGCTATGAAATATCTGGATGCATTCAAATTAATAGATAAAAAACGATGAATATTTTTAACTCTATAAAGTTTAAAAATTCATATACCTAAACGTAGATCCGATAATGCTCCATTTTCAGAAAACATGGTGAAAATCGTAATAATCTTTTAGCCGATTTTCTCCGGATCTTGCCCCCCAAATGTTATCCTATAGAAAAGTTCGGTTTTAACACACATGTGTTCTGAAATGAAATGGAAGCATTATCAGGCTCCTTGAAGTCCAGCCAGATTCTCTACTTATTCCCTGTGTATCATTAAGATCCTCAACAAATCGATAAAATGTCGAAGAAGTTCGCAATGCCTCATTCCAGTTTGTGAATTTTTAACTACCCGACCCTATTGTACTTAGCAAATGTATTGTATGGGTCTGTGGTTATCTCCTGAATCATGACCACTAATTACGTTACTGAATAGTATTTTGTACTGCATTGACAAAAATCAACGTTCTCATTTGACTGACCTGTAATCTAGAGTAATACGTTTTCAGATATACAGTAACGGACAAAAGTATATAGACAAATTAATATTGTGCTGTATTTCTTTTTTAACTTGTTTTATTAATACACCAACCTGTATACATAATTCATTATAGCATAATACTTATACATAAATAAATTCATTAGACTCCCTTCAATAAAGAATTAATTGAAAAAATTAATGAAGGACAAAAATATATAGATAAAGCAAAACAATTATAGAAAAAAAGAACCAAAGTTCATTGAATTATAGAGAACCAACCATTTTTGTATTGTTATACATAAATAAATTCATTAGACTCCCTTCAATAAAGAATTAATTGAAAAAATTAATGAAGGACAAAAATATATAGATAAAGCAAAACAATTATAGAAAAAAAGAACCAAAGTTCATTGAATTATAGAGAACCAACCATTTTTGTATTAATATTTTGTAGCATAACCATTATTATCAATCACCGCCTGGCATCGTCTCGGCATAGATTGTAGAAGTTTCTTGATATGAGATTCATCAATCTGTGTCCACTTTAGCTCTAAAGCGGCAAAAAGTTCATCCTTGTTTGAATAATTTTTATCTCGTATTTGCTTATCTAAGTATTCCCATAAATTTTCAATGGGGTTTATATCGGGACACTGTGAAGGCCACTTGAGAACTGATATTTTTTCATCCAGAAAGAATTTCTTTGCGAGATTTGAAGTGTGCTTCAGGTCATTATCTTGCTGGAAGATTGATCTTAAGGGCATATTGTCTTCCATATAGGGTAACATGACATGTTTTAGTTTGTCTGTGTATACAAACTTATCCATAATGCCATCTATTCTATGTAAAGGTTCCATCCCAAGCCCCGTTCATTACTGTACATACCTCGATTTTGATTATTCGAGTTGGAAATACAACCGCCTTGCGCATTTTATACAACCAGGCATGGTTCAAGAAATATTCATTAATCTCTAAAAAGACAATTGTGAATATCTTCTATAATCTCCGAAGCATCTTTTTGAATAGTATGGGGTTCACGTGATATCTCACCTCGAAGGTTCTCATGGGTCTTTTATACATTATTGTACATTAAACTACTTATAACTCAACAGTGAATCAATCATCAATATCAATCTTCTTCTTTTAGATGGGCCAGTCTGAATGTGCCATAAGATAGGAGACATTACATTCAAAGAAATTGACAGATTTTTAAAATCATCCCTAAAAGGAGTGTTCCATATTTTATGAAATATTAAGATAGACTCTTCTAAGATTAAGATACTATGGAGCACTGCTGATTGGTTCTTGAGTTAAAAGTTATTCAATGTACAAGAACACGCAACTTTGACATTATACCAGTCCGACATTTTGAAAAATAAACACTTAATACATATTCTGAGGTTAAATGAGATATAACGTGACTATTTAAAAAAAAGGTTCCAAGATGGTGCCTAGCCGCCATCTTGAACTTTCAACTGCCGCTTTTACGCTTGACCATCCATGCATCAATGTCAATAACCCGGATTTCAGTTTGCTAACTTAACTCATAGGTAGGGATGGAGGAATCTTTTTGAACAGCTTTGTATTAATGACTCTATATGCATCTCTATTGTTATTAGTCAGTCTGACGATTCTTAACAGATGTTCTTGTTGTTCCAGAATGAAGATTATCGTGGGTCTATTACTAGTAGCCACAGCGCTGGCCTACCCCGTCGCAGATGACGAGAAAACTCATTTACCTCAAGTGATCACAGACCACTCAAGTAGTCATGAACACCAAAAGCCTGCAGAGCACCAGCATCATCACGCGAATGCAGCACATGATTCTGCTTCAAACGAATCAAACTCATCGGAATCAAGCGAAGAATCAGCAGAAACGCCCTCCGAGAAACCTGCTGAGAACAAGCAGCAAGAAGGCAGTAGTGAAAGCCCCGCACAGCCTCCACAACCTGCTGCAGTCTCAGCAGCAGCTGAGGAGAAGCCACAACCACAGGAAGCCAAGCAGGAGGAAGCCAAGAAGGAAGAGAAGAAGGAAGAGCTGAAAGAGGAAGCTAAACCCGAGGCTTCCACTCAAGCAGGCCCTGAGTCTTCCTCCAGGCAGCCAGAGCTAGCAGCTAAAGCCGATCTCTCTGCAGAGAAGCAGGATCAGCAGTCTGCTGAAAGCCAAGAGAAGCCATTGGCTCTTCCCGCACAAAAGGCTGCAGAGAAACCAGAGGCTCCTAAGACCGACGAGCTTGCACAACCCCAAGCTGCTGCTCAACCTCAGGAAAGCCAAGCCGCTTCAGCCGCAGCTTCAGAACAACCTCAGAAGCCCCAAAGCGACAACAAACTAGGTAGCGAACAAAAACAGGACAGCGAAAAGAAAGCCAAATCCGAAGACGCTAAACCAACTGAAGAAGCAAAACCAGAAGAAGCAAAACCAGCTGAAGCTAAACCAGAAGAGAAACCTCTAGCTGACGAAAAGAAAACCGAAAAGAGAGAACAACCTACACGACCTGAGCAACCCGCCCAGCCAGCTTCAGCAGCTTCCCCATCAAGTTCAGTTACTTCTCCTTCAAGTGCACAACCTCAGGAACAGCCACAGACTACTGAAGCTGCCAGGCTGCCAGAACAGAAACCTGAAGAAAAAAAGCAGGAACAGCAACAGCCAATCCTAGCTCAGGATGCTCAGCCTGCTCAACCAGCCCAGCAACCTCAGCAATCTCAACAGCCTCAGCAACTTCAGCAGCCTCAGCAAGAAGAAAAGCTGCCCCAGCCCCAGCCGAGTGCAGCATCGTCTAGTTCCTGAGCGTATAGTGTCAGGAGGTTTTAAAAATGACTGATGAGGTCCGCTTGCCCTTTTGTTCCAAACTCACACTTAATTTGCCCTTTGTAATGTCGAACAACTGGGTCTACCGGCTCTCGAAATTTATTTATGTGTGCTCAACATTTAGGAAACGAAACTAATTCTAATGAATTTCCTCTCGTGTTTTGTTGTAAAAACCGTGTTGTTTTTATTATTATTTTATTATATATTTTTTTGTTTTTGTTTAGTCAATTGCGAACCGAGATTGGTTCAGTTTCCAGTATTTCCAAGTAGCATGATGAACCAATATCTAATGTATTAATTTTCAACTAGGTCTGATTTTGAAATTCCTACTGTAAGCTATGTAATAAAAGCTTTTTAATAAAGTTTTATACATTGAAGTTTGTCATTATTATTGACTGGCTTATTACATTGTTGCGAAGATGATAGTGTCGAGTCAAGTAGCAGTATGCTAATACTCGTAGATGCCACTTTGTCCTGTTTTATTTCATTGAGGTTTGTCTAGCTTACGATTATGTACAGCAGGTCAATCTCATAAAAACCCCAATACCACATTTTCAAGTGCTGTTTCTAAATATCAACAGCTAATGTTATGAGCTGGAATCAACATTTTGAACAGATTGTCAGAAAGGAAATTCAGCCTCCAATCATATCCATACGGCTGGTCTATCACTCTTTCAATCACTTATCAAATATTTTTGACAATTTTACACTAAAGCTCCAAAAAAATGAGGCTACCGTGTACGGACACGCCCATTGATGCAATCTGAATTTTTTTCCATGGAAAGCCTGAATACTGCACTAATGGTTCTCACAAACTCCACGTCTGTTTGATGCCATTACAATACATGGAGCTACTAGAAGTTGTGTCTGAGGCGTGGGAAGTATAGATCCAATCTCCTTGATGCCATTTATTATAGATGCAAAATTTCCATGGTTCTGTGATGGTCTGGGTGAATTGAACTTTTTTATTGGTAATCTAACCTAGGGCTGCTGAGCTACGAGAGCTCATATTCAAAAATTCGCCCAGATGAATGGCCGGATTTAAGTCGTAAAGGAAATTCCTAGGATGTTCTTGAGGATGCGTTTACAGGAGGAACGTAACGTGAACGAACTGCTACAAAATGACCGTTCTATTTCTAATGTGATAATGAAATATTATAGAAAGGTTCAGTTGGTTTCAGTTTCAATCCCATATTGTAGCTGGCGAACTTCTCAGAGAGCCAAAATCGGTACACGATATAGTTGTCACACACACACTGTATCCATAAAAAACGTTTTTCACTAATAGCCTAATAAATAGCCATTATTTAGCATGTTCCTTTAAGAAGTTGCATCACTTCCACTAGGTATACAGGAAAATACAGTAATTTCTTCCTGACGTTTCTACGTGTAGTCTACATCCAGCATCGGAAATGGAAGGACCTCGTGCTAGCGAAACGTTAGGAAGAAATTCCAACCGACGACGGCCTTTAGACCCGAAACAAGATAGCAGTTTATCAACTGGCCGCGAAAGCCTTAACCAATTTGTCAGATGTATCACATGTTACATGTATTTTCTTGGTTATAAGGAAACATTCGTTTTTACTAAAAATATTGCAGAAATGTATCTTGATGGTCCGACGAGAGTATGGCCACTAATAATGGTATCTTTAATCGCCGCAGCACTCATTACTTATTACTGGGCTCAAGAAAATCTGCGGGCTGAGAATTATACAAACATCAAAATTGTTTTGGGTTTAATATGTGGTGTGGATTTCCAGGGACCAAAATATTAGGTCCATCCCAACTCAGTCCGCCTGGACAATTTACCTTTGGCACAGGTTAATAACTGTTGCACATACATCTAGGCAAGTTCGAGGGTATGAATGAACGAATAAATGAATTAATCATGAAATTGTGCACCTCTACATTCCTTAGACCCCAAGCTTTGCCATTCTAGCAAAATTGACTATGGGCTTGAGTCCAAGCCCCTTAACGTCCTGGGAGTCCAAAGTGATGGACCCCAATTTAGTCTGCCTGTAGTAGCTCAGAGCCTCACAGCGACTCAGAACGTGCGCTGAGGTCTCTTCCTCTATCCCACAGCGCTCACACAAGGAATTCTCAGCCACCCCCACCACATGCAGGAGGCGCCTTAACCTATTAGGGCCAGACATCAGTCCCACCAGTAACCTTAGGTAAAAGATAAGTAAAAACGTCCATCCTTAGCGCTGGGCCCTACAATGAGTCTCCGTGCACGGCGGAGATGTCTGGAGATACTTCTTCATTCATGAGAGTGTTGTCTTGCAATCGACTTCTCCATTTTCCTCCTTACTCTTTGCACAGGAACCCGATAAAGCTGGCTCAGGACCAACGAGATTGCTGGCTGATCCTGTCTTCGCCAGAGCGTCCGAGGTATGATTGCCCTTTATCCCAGCGTACCTTGGTACCCTCACTAACGACTTCCTCGCTGCTAGACAGCTTGGCTGTCGGAGAAGATTGTTATTCTTCTAGACCCTGCCCCTCCAAAATGCGGGATACACAAGCCGGAACCGCCGTCCGTGTACCAGACCTGCCCACTCACTTCGGAGACCTTCCGGCTACCGGCGTCCCACTCATCCGCCCTCGTTGGATACTCCACATTAAACTTGCGGTTGAAGTGACATTCAGAGGTGGTTAGTTCACCCCTGCTCAGAACTTCAGTATCCTCCCTTTACATTTCGACTAAGATGGTAGTGTGACCGTTGACATTATTCAATAAGGCCCAGCTGCCCTGATTCCACAGTCGACGTGTCGTTATGTCAAGAAAGTATTTTCTCATCTAACCTTTGTAAAGGAGGTTTTATCCCATCATCTGCAAGGTGATTGTATTATAACTTTTTAAATAAAACAAGAAAATTTCTAAAAGAACATCCCGAATTGATTGTCACAAAATCAGACAAAAGCAGTGTTACTGTGATTATAATAAGACAACAATAGTTGGTTAAGACTTTCGCGGCCAGTTGCTAAACTGCTGGCTTGATTCGGGTCTAAAGGCCGTCGTCGGTTGGAAATTCTTCCTAAGGTTTCGCTAGCACGAGTGGCAAACTTCTTCAGAGGTTCTTCCATTTCCGATGCTGGATGTAGACTGACGATTTGTCTTGCGCAGGTTGTATTTATACCGGGATCCAAAAAGTTACAAACCCCTGAAGAAGGATTCAACGCAAGCCCGACTACGCCTTACCAACCGGCTCATCAAGCTATCATCACTGCCAGAAGGCACCAAGAAGAGCGTTACGAGAACGGAAATGGTTCCACCAAAGTCTACGGCCTGCCCAAGATCCACAAGACAGATGTTCCGTTGAGACCAATAGTCAGTGCTCCCGGATCGCTGCAACCATACGTAGGAAAGAGTACCAGCTACATCAAGGATTCCACCGGCTTTGTGCGCAAGATTCAGGACATCGTAGTTGAACCCGACGACATCCTTGTGAGCTTCGATGTCGTCTCCCTTTTTACCAAGGTACCGCTGAGGGAATGCCTAGATCTGGTGAGCAGGATCTTCCCTTGACATCTGCAAGATCTCACTGGAAGCTACTTCGTATGAGTCGGGGGCTTTTATGAACAGATAGACGGAGTGGCAATGGGAAGTCCACTTAGCCCAGTCATAGCCAACCTTTTTATGGAACACTTTGAGAAGAAGGCAGATGAGACATCGTGAGAACAAACCAGCAATTTGGTTCCGGTACGTGGACGACACCTTTGCGATTTGGAAACATGGCACGGACAGGCTAAACGAGTTTCTGCAGCACCTCAACGATCGGCATCCAAGCATACAATTTACCATGGAGATAGAGAGTGACCAACAACTGGCCTTCTTGGACGTACTAGTCAGGAAGCGAGGTAACAAGCTGGGTCACACAGTGTACAGGAAACCAATGCACACAGACAGATACCTGCACGCTTTGTCCAATCATGACCCAAGTCAGAAGTATGGAGTCATCAGAACCCTGACAGAACGAGCTCGAAGGATTTGCGAACCGGAGAACCTCCAGACAGAACTTGAACACCTAAAAACTGCATTCGAAGCAAATGGCTACAGCAAGAGGGACATCGAGATCAGCCACGCCACGTGAAACCGAACAGCGTCCCACCACCCCTCAAGCGTATCTTCCATTTGTGCCAAGAGTCACGGACAGGATTGGCAGAGTCTTGAAGAGACATGACATTAAAACAATTTTCAAGCCTACGAAGAAGATCCAACAAACCATCAGATCGGCAAAGGACAAGAAGGACCCACTCCCAGCTGCAGGAGTCTACCGCATACCGTGTTCATGCGGCAAAGTATACATTGGAACCGCGAAAAGATCAATGGGAACGAGACAAAGCAAATTGCCGGCTAGGACAAACTGAGAAGCCTGCGGTAGCTGAACATGTACTAAGCAATGGGGACCACAGGATATACTTTTGGAGCTGCAGGTTGCTGTCATCAGTCAACGGCTATCGCAATAGACTGGTCAGGGAAGCTATCGAGATTCACAAACATCCAGATAACTTCAACAGGAAGGAAGAGACCCTCAGACTCAACCCGATCTGGCACCCGATCCTCAGAAACGCCCGAGCAGTGCCGATCGACATCCCGAAGTCAACCGAAGCGGAACAAGCCACGTCACCTACCCTCCGGTATAAATACAAACTGCGCAAGAGAAATCGTCAGTCCACATCCAGCATCGGAAATGGAAGGACCTCTGAAGAAGCTTGCCACTCGTGCTAGCGAAACGTTACGAAGAAGTTCCAACCGACGACGGCCTTTAGACCCGAATCAAGACTGCAGTTTAAGACAACAATATTTTGATCTTAGTAATAACTTGATTGATAATAATCCCTCATATAGAATGATCAATAAAGATCCTATATCAAATGTAGAAAAGGGTTGCAACTACATTATTAACAAATCAACCAGAAAAAGCCCTTAATCACCTATACTTCTCTGTCTCCAAAATTTTATGCTCTTTCCAAAATACCCGTGGTTTCGGTGACGCCTATAGTGGCACCTATTGGTTCAACCACGCAAGCTTTGTCCTCATTAATTTCGGATATTTTAATGTCAGCTCACATCAAAGGAGAATATTATATAAAGCACTCTTTTGATGTCTTTCAACAATTTAATATGTTACAAATACCATCTGATCATGTCATTGCTAGTCTGGATTCTTAGATTCATAAACAAACACTGGGATCAGATATGTCAACACAGCAATCTTTCTCCGGATTCTTTCATTAATATTTTAGAATTCCTTTTCCAAAACAATTATTTCACGTTTAATAGCAAAGTCTTCTCACAAACACATGGTTGCCCAATGGGCTTAGTTTTATATCCGATTTTGGCAGAATATGTGATGGATGATCTGCTTGATATTGT